TTTGACAGACAATTTTAAGAACTGAAGGATGCGGCTTTGGTGTTCCTGGTACCTAGACCAGGTGAAGAGGCTGAAACAATCACCATCAAAGGTGGCTCATAACTTTATTTCAAATACCTTAATTGTGGTAGTTTCTGGCTCTTTAGAACAGATTTTTACAGTCCTTGTTTGCCAAATTCTTGAAAATCCAAAAGCTACACCAAATCATTTTAACAAACCCATCATACAACTCTTAATGTACCAAAATGCATAGCTGAAAATCTTTGTTAGGATGAATTAGTTACTGCCCAACAGCAATGTTTCTAATTTCTTGTGAACCAGCATAGCTGGTTTGGTTGGTTTATTTTCTGTTTTGGTTGGTTTATTTTTTAAATTGCCAAAATTATCAGTCCACAGGTTTCTCTAGATCCAAATACTGGAACTGTCTTCAGAGCAGATAAGGCAGGTCCCCGCTCTAAGCCCATTTAAGGAATAAGAAATTAATATGCTTAGCTGACAGTAAATGCTATTGAGTCCAATTTACTTACTACTCAGTAAACCTGTTCAGGAATGCACAGCAAGTTTAATACAATCCTGAATATCTTTCCCCATGCACAGCTCTCTGCACCCCCAATGGTTTCCCTACCCCACATAATTTCCAATACCATCTTGGATACTTTTTCCCACCCCACAGGTCTCCATCGCCATGTCCAGGCCTGGCCCCAGGGCATTTTTTTTTGACTGAGGCAGAGCAACAAATGGCACCCCCAACCCAGTTAGGTTGATTTGGCCTCAAGGCAGAAAATCCTACCTTCTCCTACCCACTTCCCTGGCTGTGAAAATAAAAATAATCATTAGATTAAAAATGAATAATTTGCTGCCTCAGGTTCTGGGGGAAGGGGAGAGGGGGTGAGAGGGTTTAAGGATCTTGTCCTCTAAGGACCCCTCCCCCATTCTGTAAAAAGGAATCTATGGGAAGGGGAAGAGAGAGCATTGGATTTCAGGAAAAAACCCTCAGGCAGAAAGATTCACAGGAGGCAGCAGAAGGGAAGCACAGGTGGGGTGAAAGTCAGCTAGTCCACAAGGACCATGTGCAACTAGACTCCTGTACCTTTTCTTCCACAAGTACCATTTTGCTGCAGTTACATGAAAAACAATGTTTCAAAACTAAATTCTGCAGTGGACTCCAGGCCATAAAAATGTGTGGCCATTTAACATATCCAACATCCAGTTGGCACATGATGTCTGAGTATGGACATTCTAGTTTTTTGTAGATTAAACTATCCAGAGTTAAATTAGTGGCTTGTTTAATCCATGATTAACCTACATTGTCCACCTCTGGACATGGCACTGCAACCTCTGATCAGCCCAATCAGAAACTTATTATGCAGAACGGCCATAAAATGCATCAGCATGCACTGTGGCAAATTCTGGGTGAGTTAACTCAAGTTTAACTAGCTCACAATTTATTGCTGTTATGGGCAAATCAAGTCACTGTCCCTGCATTTCTTTTGTGCAAGTTTCTGTTTTTATTTTTCTCATATGAGCCGTTTCTGAAGGAACACATCTTTTCCCTAATATGTTATTTGACAATGTTCCTCAATCATGCTGATGACCTCTTGGACTTGCTCCTATGTTGCCTGACCTGTGGTATGCATTCTTGCTGAACTTTTATTTTGGTTTTGAGTAATCTCCAAAGATTCTTGAATGATTTTACCCTCTTGACGTTCTGTTTCAGCTTCCCTTTTACCAATCTCTTTGTTTTAGAGAAGTTCCCTCTTTTAAAATCAAATGTGACTGTGGTAGACTACCTTAACAAATTCCCCTTTATGCTGAAATCCACTTTGATAGCATGGTGGGCACTGCTTCCAATTGGTTCAACAATATTCACATCTCCCACTAGGTCTTGAGTGCCAATTTGAATTCAATTCAGCTTTACCTCCTTATAAGTTGATTTCAGGACCAGCCGTGCTAGGACACAGTTGTTTAGTGTATCTAGAAGTTTTAATCCTTTGGTGTGACCACACTATGTATACTGTATATCCAGGTTATGTGAGTGTAACTGAAGCTACCTGTTATGAAAACCTTTCTTTCCTTTGGATGCATCCTACTTTCATTCTTCATCTCAAGATCACCCTGAACATTTTGGTCAGAGAGATGGGAGCATGTCCTTACTACTAAATTAGCAATTTAAAGTTGGATACTTTAAAGATATGTCACTTAACTGTTTGATCTAGGTCTTTTACCCAAGCCATGGATTCTCCAGTCTGGGCCAGTCCCGAATTTCTTCTGTTTCCCTGTTGTTTGAGCTTGACTGAAATCCCTGGAATCATAACGCCAAGTACAATCCTACTGCTCATAACCCACCAAAATCAGAGATGTGTGGTTATCCCACACAGAGTGGGAGGAGTAGTGAGTGCGATTTTTGTCCCTCCATTCTTCAGCCCTGCATGTTTGCCCTTCTGGCAAGAGCACTTTAGAGGGGGAGGGAAGGAGACTGGAAGGGTCTCAGGAGCTCATATTTTAGCCTCTCCAGTCTTCTCCCCTCTCCACCCTTTTCTCCAGTTGCTTTCCTGACAGCAGCCTGTGTGGCTGGTCTCTGCACTGCCAAGGAGGGCCAGTGGAGCTTCAATTTCCAGCTCTAAGATTGGAACACTATCTCCATCCTTGGATCTGGGAATCCAAAATATTCTGCGGCCCTTAACCCAAAGGATTGCTCCCACAGTCTACTAACAAGAACAAAAAGCATAACAGAGTTAGCAATTCCAGATAATTAAGTAGGAAGCTGAAATATACCGGTATCACATTGTGGATGGAGTTTTGGACTGGGACTTAGGAGGTCCAGGATGTAGTCCCTGCTTGGCTATGAGGTTCATAGGTTCATAATGGTTGATTAAGGCCATTCACAACACTCAGCCTAACCTACCACACAGGGTTGTTGTGAGGATAGCATGCAGAGAAGGAAAAGAACCATATAAACTGCCTTGGGTTCCTTGAAGTAAAAAAGGAAGCCTGTAAATATAATAAATAAAACGATAAACCAGTGGCCCATCTTGGTTAGTATTTATCTGCAGCGGCAGTGTTGAACCTCTTTCAGTTCAAGGGTCAAATTGCATTTTGGAAAAATGGATGGTTGTCAGAGTAAAAGGCATGGGGCTAAAAACACCAGCACATTATAGATTAAAACTCTCACTGGCAGTCACTAAACTTAGAAGCAGCATTGCAACTGTTTAGAATGGGAAAGATTGCCTAAAAGCCCAGAGCAAACCAAAGGTTCAGTGAAAGGTGTGATCATAATAGTGACAGCTCAGGACTCCAGTTGGATTTGGCCCTTGAGTCTGAGGTTTTCCGCTCATGGTCCACACTGACCAGCAGTAGCCCTCCAGTTATCCAAAATATTTTCCAGCCCTACCTTGAGACAGTGGGGATTGTAGCTTTACCATTGAAGTGTACTCTTCCTTCTAAGTGATGTGCAAATGAGGAATATGAAAATGTCATTCATGTTTGTGAGTTTTTAAAGCATTTGGTAACCTCTACTAGGGACTTGACAAAAATAACCTTAAGTAGGCTTATCAAAATTGCTAACTCTCATGATCAAACAGATGGTGTTAGGACTCAAAGAATTTGTAAAGAAAGTTAGCAGTTCAATCCTATACATGTATACTCAGAGTGGGAGTTAATCCCAGGTGAGTGTGTATATAGGGCTGAGGCATATATTGTATTTTTTGAAAAAGGGTTTTTTAAGGACAAATGTTAAAGGCCAAATGAAATTTGCCCCTTTAGAGTTCCACCTTTGCAACTCTTACAAACACAGCCAAGTGCCATATGGCCCAAAATGCAGAAAACCAATTTTAAAAACAAACGTATCACTCCCTCCCCCTCAATTGCATTTCTCTCTCTAATATTACAATATTCATTAAGGCTGCAATACTATACACACTTTTTAGGGAGCAAGCATTCTTGAAAACAATGGGATCCATGAGTAAACACACTTAGGTTCGAGCTTGTAAGGCCATAGGGCATCATGACACAATCCTGTGGAAGCTTCTTCAGACTTAAGTCCCATTGCATTCCATGGGGTTTACTCCCAGGTAATTGTGTATAACAGCCTAAACGTTATTTTTAAATAACTTGATCGATTCCAGGAATCCCCATCTTATGCTTACCACCTAGCTCTGGCAAAAAAAAAATGCGCTACCCTGCTTTCCTTTTATTGATAAATTTGTACCGACCTGGCTAAATTTCTCATCCCAGGGATCATACCGTTCAAATACTTCCACCCAAGGAATAACACAATTGCTTCCCCAGTCGCGAGGCAGCGGAGGTGTTAAGGGAAAAAAGAAAAAAAAAGGGAGGCGAGCATGCGCAAAGTCAGTGGACGAGGCCTCGGTTGGAAAGTGAGGGGGCGTGGCTGAGAGAGGGCATAGGCGGCTCGGATTCCAGAGAGGGGCGTGGCTAGCCCCCGTCTTCTGCGCTGAAGGTGCACGGCAGCTGTAGCAAAAGCGACAGGTGCGCGTAGTTGGGAGAGGTTTGGTGGGGAGCGGCTGCCAGAAAGTCAAGGTAGGTGGAGGGAGAATTCTGTCGATTCGATGATCTTGCTGTCGAGCACTTTCTGAGATACTCTAATCGTGCCTTGGAAAGCGGTATTTTTGGTTTCTCCATCTCTTGGGGATTTTTCATGTGCGCGCGTGGGGGCGATGGATGTCTGTTTTCCTTTAAGAAGGTGGTAGCAGATCTCGGAAAAGCGCTTCCTTTTCCCGGACGGCGGCTGCGGTGTTGGCAGGTGGAATTGAGACATGTCATCTCCCTGCCCCCACCCTGGGATCTGTCCATGAAGTGGATCCTGTGGTCGGGGAAGCGATGATAGAAGAGTACTAATAAAAGAAGCGGTGGTCTATTGGTTAAAGTGGGATACTACGTTATACGCGTAAAAGGCAGTGCTATAATCTATGAATTGCTTTATGGTGGCGACTGGGGGAGGGGTGCCGCAATTGGTATCAGTTTTCCTCAAATGCTTTGACTAAACAGGAGTCGATGAGAACTAAGACTTCTAGCGCGCTAAACGGAGCAAAGGTTGACGGGCAGGTGTATCTTCATTGTGTGCGCATTGCGGGTCGGATTGTTCCTTCTGGGCTTAAAAAGTAAGAATAGTAGTAGTCCTGGAAGTTTCTGTGTTGCTTTTTCCTGAAGGGGAGGGCCATTTCCTTGGGAATGGTATTACTGAGTGTGGTACTGCTTGTGCATAACTGCCAATATTAGGTGGTGAGTCTTTGGGGTCTCTGTTTCCTGTTCTATACATAGTAAAGCAATAGTTGGGTGCTGTATTTTGGGAAGAGAAGCTGGTCATGCAATGTAATATGTTAATAATATTGACAAATAATATGGGATCATTGTTAAATCAGTAAGATATTTTCTTGTCCATGCTTCAAGTTACGTATGTTCCCATCTTTGTTTTTTAAGGCATTTTTTTAAAAAAGAGCTTCCCTTCATGTAAAAAAAAAAAAATTAAAATCCTTGTAGAATAAACTCCATGAAGATGAGAGGTAAGGAGCCAGAGGCCCAAGAGGGTTGTACTTGCTTACTTCATTTTCCTCAACCATTGAGTATTTGGTGGCTTCCCAGCTATTCTGCAGTAGTTTCCCTATTCTAAAAGACAGGAAAACCAAACAGGCATTTCAATTGTCTTGAGGTTTTTGGAGCTTTGCCCGGGGGGTGGGGGGGTGTCTGGAGTTTATGGATGACTTGTTGGTTCCAGAAAGTGACTTGACCATTCGTGAACAAGTATCTGGAGCTCACTAGTACCTAAAGTTAGTCTGACTTAAACAAAAAATTGATTTTTCCCCTCTGTAGTTTGGCATAGCCCAAGACTATCTGCCTGTACTTACAACCTGTGCATTTGGTGATACAGTGTTCCCTTCCCCTTTTTTGGCTGAGGCTGATCAAGTAATATGATTTTTTGTCACTAACTACTATTAATCTTTTGTAGTACTGATCTAAATAGCTCTTGAAGGAAACCACTTGGTAAAGATATAGGAGTCTTATGATAGCTAGCTATCATAGTGTTAAAAACTACCTGAGTCTTGCCTTGATGACTGATTTCCTTTCCCAAGACTGTACCACACCTTCTTCCTGATGAAGATAGATTGGCACTGGTTGACTCTACAGATGCCTGTGTATTTCCAGTTTAAGTTAGGTGCTTCTAGCAGAGAAGCTTTGGGGGAAAAGACGATCTAAATCATAAGACTTATATACTTTTGGACAACACCTGTGTAGTGGTTATTCTGTGACATGTTAAAGCTCTGGGTGTATCTGAGTTACAGGCTAATTAAGGTTGGTCCAAAATCTCCTGGCAAGTTATGCCCTTGACTCATTTTTGTCTACCCAAGCATTGGAAATCACTGCTGGGTGCATAGTGCAAATGAGGAAGTAGCTGCTGATGCCTAGAGTGGAAATCTCCCTTAGAATCAAAGTTGGATATTTTTGACTCCGACCTGTAAAGAATAAATATCTGAAGTGGTGCTCTTTGGTTATAATTGACAAGGCTTGTGGAATTTACCTCAGCATAAAACATGGACATCATTCTTTTCCTATTATTTTCTTCCTCTTGTGTTAGGTGGATCGAAAGAAAAAGAAAAAAATGGAGTGGGTGTATCTGTGTTAAAGTCAATTTATGATTATTCCTTTGAGGTCTTTTGTGGAGGGTCAGAGTGTTCAGGGAAAAATGTCTTCTGTCAGCCTACAAATAACATGATATTAGTGGCACTTTCATTCTCTGGCATTCTCTGTGTAATACTGAACAGACCTCCTGCAAATAGCTAAGGGCAAGGTACAATATTCACACTTCCTCCTGCATGTGTTTAAAACATAGTGGGCTGGAGAGGGGATGATGTTAAGCTAACTATATTAACAAACTTCTGCTCTTTGCAGTAGAGTGGAAAGGGGAGTGAAAGGAATGTCAAACTTGTAGCATTTATCTTCTCTTCCGTGTCTTGATAAATACTTGGAGAAGAGATCCAGAACTGTATTATCTGCTTCCCAGGCATTAAGCGGATTAGTTGCCCCAGTGTTTTCTGGCACCATGTGCATGCCCCATCAGTATAAACATCAAAACTAGACTGAATATTGCATATGACCTAATTAACATTTGATGATCCATGACATCATAGAATTTACCATGGGTAATGGCTTCAAAGCCACTCAAAAGTTTATTTGTTGCATTTGCCTTCTGCTTTTCCTTCAAGGAACCCAAGGTCGTGTACATTAACCCTCCTCTCTTTTTTAACTTCTCAACACTTGTGAGAGGTAGACTAGTTTGGGATTTCCTCACTGGATTCACACAAAGCACCAATCCATACTTCGATGAGTGGATGTTGAAACATGGGTCCTTGTGTTCTGTAAACCCAACTGCACTAACAAACCATCACAAACAACACAATACAATAACACAGCATTGGCTCTTTTTGTGGACTGCTTGTGGTTAATAAACCATGGCTTGTGCAACTGGGTTCGCACAGCACAAAACCCATGCTTTGATGGTAACTCATACTGCAAGTGTGGGTGGTTGCATTATATGAACCCAGCCACTGCTTGGTCCAAAGTTACCCAGTGAGCTCCATGGCTGAGTGATGTTTAGAACCCAGTTCCTGCCTAATACTCTAACCACTGTACAGGCAGTACCTGGGTTATGAACAAGTTTCATTTCTGAGAAAACAAAAAATTGTCTTTAAATCAGATCACATATAGTCAGCCCTCCACTTCCATGGAGGTTAGGCGTACAGGACCCACAAGTGGAAAAACTAATATCGCTAGGCTTCCCCCACCCCCACCCAAATTCACTGGTGCCTCCTTTTTGCAGCAAGGAAATGCTGGAGAGATTTCCCTTTCTGGATGGGTGGAGCAGGAAGGCATGCTTTGGAAGCCTTGCTTTCCCTTCTTCTCTCTCTATGGGGATGGTGATTTTCCACAGTATTCTTTTAAAATTAATAGGGTGTATGACAGATCATTTGTAAGTATGGGTTGTTTGTAACTCAGACGTTCATAACTTGGGAATTGAACATACTGCACTGACTCTCTAGTTACTATTGCTCTGGTTATACTGGTTACTGTCTCAATTCTTGCTGGCCTTAACATAATGTTAACCAATGCTACTAATGACTATGATGTTCCTTTCCCTCTCTCTCTCACCCATGAATGTTGTAATGTAAGTATATTGGTTTGTAGGAATGTTCCAATTTTGGTTAGAGCAGTTGGACTTGAACTCTTGAATATACTGAAATTTTATAAAATGTTGACAATCCAGGGAGTAGAAATAGATTATGAACCTGCATTGTGGCACATCCTAAGGACTTTGGACAAGTATGGAGGAATGTAGGAAGCTACCTTAAACTGACCAGGTTCAAACAATGCAATAAACAATAGTGGTTTACAAGCCAGGGTGGGTTCTTGCATTGACCCCAGCAGTATGGTTTCTTAACCATGCACAAGTCACTCTTGACTATAAATTGCCATGGTTTATAACGTGTGAGCCCAGTTAGACTGTCGGTACAGTTAATTCGGTATTGTTGGCACTGACTGGCAGCAGCTCTAGTATATCACTATTTTTGTGTTAAACATTAAAAATATTTGAGAAAGTTTTGGCTACTTTAATAACTAGTGGTTGACCCAGGGCTATCTGGTGGTGATGTCACTTTTTAAAGAAAGCGACATACATAGAATGCCTTTTTATGTGCATTTATAATGTGTCTGCGCAACATCTGCCTCATGTTGTATAGAGGAACACTTACTACAGAGTTAGACTTGGACGCAGCTCCTGGCTATCATGTATACTTGGCGGTAAATGTTGGGCTCCATAACAGACTGAGTGACACTAATGGGTTCTTGCTGAACAGAGATCCAAATCAGGATTTCCTACATCCATATTCAAAACCCTTTGCATTGTTTCTCTTTCATTATTGATTTAAATGGTTCTTTTGAAATTAAATATGTGTAAGGGTTCATTGCTTTAAGCTTTAAAGAATCATCCTCAAAATTGGGCCTATGAAAGCAGTTTCTAAAGGAAATTTAATTTTATGGAGAAGTGTAATGAGGGACTTATTCCTTAAGTGTACCCTGCACTGAATAGCAAAAGCAGGTAATTGTGCTATTGCAGATGGCCTTTTTAATGCCATAAATGTCACTCTTGGAAACAAGGAACCCTTTATATAGGATGTTAAATGACCCTCCTCTGTTTGAATAGGAGCCTCCAGATTCAATAGTGATCTCTTATCAGCTGTTTTTTCCAAGTTCTAATCGCAAATGTCTGTTACTGTGTTTTTATTAACTCATGCTTTTTTAAAAAAAATCTGCCTGTATTGCAAATATTGTAGAAAGTTCTAAATTTTCATCTCATGAACAAGCACTGCTTTTAGGAATTCTTCGTGGCAAGTGATCCTCACATCTCCAGAAATCAGGTGGCTCCAGTTTAAAGAGTTGTGTGATACCTCACTCTAACCTAGACCACAGCCTGCTTTGTCAGGTGCACCAAATAGGCTAAAGTAGTTAGGTGATTATGTGGTTCATTTGTTCTTTAAACTTCCAGGTTTTTTTAGTTCAGTCATGATCTCATGCTTGCTCTATTAGATTAGGATTGTTTTTGCAAGAAGATGTTCTGAAGTTGGTTTTCTCCGCTCAAATTTGTTAGCTAACTGATGCAAAAGCAATGAATGTCCAAAGAAGTGCTCCTTTATAACACTGGAATAAGACATACACCGTTCCTGACACATGCAGCCTTATGCTTCTTGGACCCACCATAGGCTGTGATATTTGCCTTTTTAAAAGAATAAGGAAAGTCTCGTGCTTCCGTAGTTGTAGAAGCCCATGTTTACAGCTTCATAGTTCATGACTGAGAATGCGTTGGCAGACCATCTAGCCTCTGTTTGAATATCTTGATGCTGTGATGCAAATCAAGCTCAGGCACAATGGTTGCCTGAGCTGGAGACACCAAGGGGCTAAGAGAAACAGTCTTTAAATATTTCATATAGGAAGGTATGAGGGTCCAGCCTCATTGGCCAATGCCTTCATACATGACTGTGTATGAATCCGGCAGAAAACACCCAATGCCCTGTCAAAACCCACCTTTAAAGAGGATCCTTTGAAAGCTGGC